CTGGCCCATCCTCACCCTTCTGCCCCCAACCCTCACCTCCTTGTACCCCCAATATGTTTTTCCCAATAAAAAAAATATATTAAAAAAAAAAGTCCCCGCTCTATTGATGGCCAGTCCTGTGTTTAGGTTCCTACCTCACACACAGCTCAGTCTTCTCATCTCTCTAGTGAACATATAATTGTTCCCACTCCACAGGCCATTGCCATGGGCCACATGCAGAAGCCCAGGGAAGGGGTAGGCGAGGGCCAGCCCCAGAGGCGGGCTTCAGCTGGTGACTGTTAGAACACACACAGTGGTGGGGGAGATAGTCATATACTATGATAATAATTGCTGTACTTCATTTGTCATTCACACTTCATTCCCAGACATGGACCCACCCTGAAGAGGCCATCCAGTGTCGGGAACGGTTGGCAGGAAGGAGTTGGTATCTCTTTCTGACTTTCTGGCCTTTGTGCTTTGTTTCAGGGTGGACTGGCTCGGATCACACGAGGCCAGCCCCTGGAGGTGGCCTACGGCTCCCAGGTTACTCTCAAGAGTGCTTTTGGCAAGCCTATGCCCTGCTGGCTCCATTCCCACAGGAACACCTACCCTACGATGTAAGGAATGTGGCTTTTGGTTTGAAGATTATAAATGTTGTTCACCATTACATCATGTTGCTCACCATATCACCTCTGACCTTACCTGGAGACATTTGCTAGAGGGAAGAGACTCACGCTAGGTCCTGCCCCTCAGGGGGCCCAGTGATCATTTGTGAACATGAGCGAGCTGTGTGAGCAGAGGCCCCGGCACAGAGCAGCCGCATCTTCCACACATGGGCCGTTTCCCCACTGGGTTTTTGCACTGTTACGTTTTGCACTTCTGTGAAGTTTAACATTTTTCTCTTTTTCCCTTAGTCTGCTTTAAATACTCTCTAGGTGACATTTGATACCTGAGGCCTGGGGGGAAGAGTCTTACTCGATGGTCCTTCTCTGACCCTTTCCACATACACGTCATTGTCCTTTTCCCATAGATACGAGAATGGCCGGGGCAGCTCCCACCAGCAGCAGGTGACCTGTTACCCCTTCAAAGATGTTAACAACTGGTGGATTGTAAAGGATCCTGGGAGGTAAGTACAGAACCGATGGGGCTGTCCTCGGGGCCTGATCAGACCAGGTCCTAGACCCTGTCGTCTGTCTACTCTCACCCCATGAGTAGTACCATTCCTTCTTTGATAATTCCAAGGCCCATTAAAGTCAGATCCCTCCTCAGTGGGCCACACGCACATGGGAACTGCCTGCTCGATATCTCCTCTGGGGCTCTTAAAGACATGTTTCAAATTCACCACCACCTCCCTCTAGGCCACCTTGGGCTGCGACCAGTGGCAGCAGGGTCAGTTCTGGGGTCAGAAGCCAAAAAGTCAGCATTATCACCCAGGATGTTACTGAATGTTCAAATAAAATGAATATACTTCTCAGAGGAACCCAAACAAATCAGAAATAAAAAACCCCAGACCAGGTCTCCTTTTTATCTGTCCTCCCCTTTTCCTAAGTGGCATCTCTTGCTGAGACCTCAGCAATGGGAGTCATTCTCTCTCTCACTCCCATATTCACTCCATCAGCAGATCGTGCGGGTCTGCCCTTCTCCCCTGATGCAGTTCCCCTCTTCCTGCCCGCTCCAGTCCAGCATTCAGCAGCCCTCGAGTGGTCTTTTACAGTATAAATGTCAACAGTCACTCTTCTGCTCAGCTCATCCCTGAGCTAACCTGAGCTTTCATTGTGCTGAGAGTAAGATCCAGACTCCCGTCCTGGGCCTGCAGAGCCTGCATGGCCAGCTCCTGCTTAAACATCCAGCCCTCTGTCCTGCCCATTCATGGCAGTCGGCCTATTAGTGCAACAAGGCCAGCAGTGCTGCTGCTGCGCCTGCTGCGGGGCTTCAGGCAGGACCCCTCCTCTGCCCGCAGTGCTTCTCCCTGGCTGGCTCCTTAGCTAAGTAAGCTTGACAGTCACTTCTCAGGAGGCCTCCCTGCATTTTCTCTCACTGCCCCATTCGCTTCCTGCATCTTCTGTCATACGATTGCTGTTCTTGGTTTACTCACTCATTTGAGGTCTCTCTGCTCCCTCCTTTGCTGTAGCGTCCTAGTAGCAGAGCAGTTAACCAGGTTTTAGCTGTTTTCCTGTAAGTCAGCAGTTCAAACCGCCAGTGGCTCTGTGGGAGACAGGTGTGGTGTTCCACCTCTGGAAGGGTTATAGTCTTGGAAACCCAGGAGGGCAGTCTGCTCTGCCCTGTGGGGCCAGCATGAGTCACATGGCATTTTGGTCTTGCAGTGGGGTACAGGTCTCGGGCTATGTCTGTCTCATTTGATGTCCCATGTTCAGCACCCAGCACAGTGCACACCAGTGCTTAGTGCATGTTGACTGAATAGATAGTGAACAGGAGAGCTTGTCTGTTAGAAAGATTTTGTTAACTGTGGTATATTCATTGCTGAAGCATTTCTAGACAATTCAAAACAGCTGAAATGTAATCATGGCAAACCCAGTTAACGTCTAGTATCACAGAATCATTTCCAGAAAAGAATTAGACACCATTTGTGTGTTTTCATACAGTTTACCTAATGTGAAGTACGAATTAATTGGGAAGCAAAACATTCCCAGTTGCCTTTGGCACTCAACGTTAAAGCTGCAGACACTCCTGGTGAGTGCTGCCATTGAGGGCCTGAGGCCGTGAGATGAAGCCTCGCTGGTCTTCCCTCTGTCTTTCCAGGCACCAGCTGGTGGTGAACAACCCTCCCCGGCCAGTCCGGCATGGAGACATGGTGCAGCTGGTCCATGGCATGACCACCCGCCTCCTCAACACGTGAGTGCACCCCACTCTGCTTGCCCCCTCCTGCTGCTTCCAAGTTTCCCTCCAGGATCAAAGAGGCTCTGCTGGCACTAGGATTAAGCAGCAACACACGGTTAGGCAGTTCCCACCCGCCAGCCTCTCTGTGGGAGAAGGATGTGGCCTTCTGCTTTTGTAAAGACTTTTGCCTTTGGAAACCTGTGGGCAGGTCTGTTCTGTCCTGCAGGGCCACTCTGACTTGATGGCAGTGGCATTAGGAGTTTTCTGGTCTTTTTGTTCAGAGGTCTCAGGTCTGGGGAACTGCCAGCCCTTGTGAGAGGTTATCACCCTGAGTGAGGCTTACTCAGCTAGAAATGAAGGGGGCTGCTGAGTCAGCTCAGACTTGAGAGAGACACTCTTGGTTTGGTTTCCTTGCGTATTCTCCCCTCGTAACATGGTTATTCAGGGAGCTCTGGTGGCTTAGTGGTAAGGAGCTGCTCTGTCAGCCCGAAGGCATGCCGTTTGAATCCACCATCTGCTCAATTAACTGCGCAATTAACTGCCTTTGAAAACCTGCTAGAGGGTCAGCTATGGGTTGGTTATGATTTGACAGAACGACAGCATGGTTAAGCGTGGCCCTCCCCATGTCTCCCTTCCCCTCTGAGGAGAGGCGCTCTACACAACAACAACAACAAAATGGTTATTCAGCGTGACCTTCCCAGGGTCTCCCTTCCCCTCTGAGGAGAGGTGCACTCAGTCTGTGATGAGACGAGGACCTTTTAGGACCGAGCTGGCCTCAGTGCCAAAGGGCAGCTTTTGACCCATTAAAGAAACACGATGTATATAACTTTTGTATGCAAACCAATATAAAATAAAACTAAAAATTAATAATAATAAAAAGAAATGATAAATGCCTTTCCAAGGCCTGTCAGGTGGGTTTGAGGACTTCTTGTAAGGGCGCTGTTTTGGTTTTCCAGGCACGATGTGGCAGCTCCCCTGAGCCCCCACTCCCAGGAGGTCTCCTGCTACATTGACTACAACATCTCCATGCCCGCCCAGAACCTCTGGAGGCTGGTGAGTGCCCACATGGGGCAGCTGAGGCCCGTAACGTGCTGGGGACGCTGGCAGTGAGGGACAGGGGCACAGAGGCTGAGGCCCAGGTTATGTCCAGTGGTTCCACCCCCTTCTCACAGCACAGGGGTTCTGAGTCGTTTTGTGCATCAGAAAGAATGCAGGCAGGTTTTAAGATGCTGCGGGCTTGCCGTGTCGGCTCCTTGTGGGTCACAGCTTAGTGGCTGTGCCCTGGGGAAGGTTCTCTGACCCTGTCAGTTGCTCAGACTCAGGACCAGGTCACTGGAGGGGGCAGGGCACCAGCCAATGCCTGCTGCCCCAGTGAAGCCCTACCTGAGGACTGAATTCTTACCTGAGGAGCCAGTTTCTTCATTTCCCTGGCCACTGAATGCTGGCCATCCGTCAGGACTACTCTGTCCTGAGGCAGCTGGGCCTCTTGAGGGAGGGACAGGGTGGTAAGCTTTCCTTACAGAGTAGTCTCCATCACCAGGGCTGCCCGTGGGCATCCTGGAAAAGTCCTTGGGCTTCTTATAAGGAATTGAGTGCTGACAACACTCTCATAATTAGAGTCATTCCACTGGGATGATTTTTCGTAAAGTATTTTTCGTACTTGCCTGCCAAATGCAATCGCTGTGTCACTTCCACACTTAGACCAGTGCACTGCCATCTGGGTCTTGATGGTGGATTATACGTCCAGCATGACCCGTGCTGCTCACAGACCCTCTCCTCAATGCCGCCTTTGAAGAGGCTGAGTGACTTCTCTGTGGCGCCTGTAACACGCTTCCACACGCTTGTGTCACAGAGCTCACACCTCCGGGGGCTGGAAGTCTGAACTCGGCATGCTGCCAGTGTTGGCTCCTTTTGGAGACTGAGGGGAACAGCCTAATGCTTTTCTCTTAGCTCCCAGGGTCGCCACAGACCTTGGTGTGTCTTGACTTGTACACATAGCACTCCAGTTTCTGTCTCTCTTCTCACATTGCTTAAGTGGCCCAGTGGGTAGGGAATTGTTCTGCCAACCCAGAGGTGGGTAGTTCAAATCCACTGGCTGCTCCAAGGGAGAAAGATGGCTGTCTCCTCCTGTGAGAGATTACAGCCTCTGAAAACCCACTGGCGGGTCAGCTGCGCGTCAGTTCTGACTCAACAGAAGTGAAAATGAGTGTCACCTTGCTGCCTTCTCAGTCATGTCATGGGCCCACCGTCATCCAATGTGACCTCAATGTAATGGAACTATAGCAGCAAAGAGCCTGCTTCCACACAAGCTCACATCCTGAAGTTCAGGCAGACGTGAGTTATCTGTGTCACTGCTCCCTAGTACGGAGGCGTCACTACTTCCGGGTACAGGCATCGCCTTTCCCAGGTACGGGTGTCACTCTCCTGAGTACAGAGGCTGCTTCTCATGTTTTGTGCCTAGCCAGCACCTCTGCCTGTTTCCTCACTGTGTCACATCTGTCCCCTCGCTGTGTCACAAATACCTGTGTGCATTGTTTCCCACTTGCTCCTCCACTGTGCCCCTCAAGGGTTGCTCTGTGCACCCTATCCTTTTATTCTTTTATCATGGAGAGCTCCCCTCCAAAATGTCAACTGATCGCCACGCCCTCCCTCCATTCCCCCTCCTCCCAGCTCACTGCTGTCCAGTTGCTCATGACTCCTCTCCACCCTCTGCTGGATCCACGGCTGTGACTCTCCCGGAGGAGACTGCCCGTCGTTATCCCGTGGTGCCTGGTGGATCTGAACACAACTTTCAGTTGGCAGCCAGTACAGCAGGCCACACAGCACCCAGGTCCCTGCCCCAGGAGGGGCTGCATTTCCCTCTCCTCTGCTGCTGCCCTCACCCCTTACTGACCTCCTCCTCCTTGCCACCTCCATCCCCACATCCTATGTTCTTAGGTGTGGAAGCTGTGGGGGACAGGCAGCTCCACAGCTCCCCAGTCAGTGAGAGAACAGAGACAGGCAGTGCGGATGCTTCTCCAGTGCTGGTGGTGTCTCATTGTTACTACCTGGATCAGAGGAACCCGTCACAGGGTGGAGCACTCAGCTCCACCCTACACACTGGAGCAGTGTGAATCCACACATCACTCCGCGGGAGAACGGTGTACAGCTTCTCCAGGAACCCGACGGGATGGTTCTGTCCTGTAGATGTGCTGAGTTGGAAGGGACTCAGAAATTAATTTCACTTCCTGAATCAGAGAACCATGGTAACATGTCATAACAGTTAAGTATTTGGCTGCTAACCTTTAGGTTCAGACCTGAACCCTGCCCTCTCCTGCACCGTCCTCACACTTTCTGACACACTGGAGCCCACTGCGGCAGTCACTGTGTCAATCCATCTGGCTGTGGTCTTCCTCTCCTTCACCGATCCTCTGTCCTCTCTCCAGGGAATAGCCCATCCTAGCAACATGCTAGGAGGTGAAGCTTTATCATTTTTGCTTCCAAAGAGCACTCGAGCTATACTTTCTCCAAAACACATTTGCTTGTTCTCCTAGTTGTCTGTGGACTCTACTCTTCAGCACCACAGCTCAAAGGCATCAGTCCTTCTTTCATCCTTATGCATTGTCCACTTCTCAGATGCATAGCAAGTGATTGGAAAGACCATGGCCTGAATCAGATCATAGAAGACCTTAATCTTTTTTTAGAAGACCTGTAGGTTAGGGGCTAAAAACTGTCCCAATTTTAGCCAGCGCTTCAAGCCCTTTCACTGGGTTGGCTTTGCAAAAAAGCATTATTCTCTTTTTGTGTGTGTGTTTGTGTGTGTGTGTGTGTACGTGTGTGTACCATCAAATTGGATCTGACTGGTACAGGAGATTGTCCCTCCTTCTCCAGCAGAGCACCTGGTGGATGATTCTCAGTCTTTTAAATCCTTTTCTCAGACTCCTCACATGCTGCGCACAAGAGGAGCAGTGTTTCCTTCCCACATCCAGCCGGTATCACTCATGTGGTGATGGCGTCCACAGTGGCATCCAGAATTGCCTCTGTTCACCTCCTGTTAAGGGCATGGCCCTTAGTATAACACTTATATGCATTGCATTGTTTACAACTGGTCTTTTTTTTTTTTTAAATATATGTTGTGAAGTTTATGTTCTAAAATGTTTTTT